CTACGCCCAATCCATATATCAAATAAAAAGATAGGCTTCTTTCCGATCCATAATCAGATTGGAAAGGTGCTATTTGGTCAAATGGGCTCAATTTTTGGTTTCGTTTCGAAATTCGAACCATTCATATTTTAGGGTTCGTCGAATACATCATCTCTGCAAAAAAATTAAGTCGATCAGATAATGGCAACCACGTATTCGGAGCAATTTTCTATGAAAAAAATGAATGGTGAGGAAATAAATGGTTCATACAAAACTATTTTGAACAAGTGGTTGCTGTTATCTGATTGACGTGATTTTTTGTAAGGATGATGTACTCAATGAGCCTTAAAATATGAACGGTTCAAATTATTGAAACAAGAACCAAAAATGGACCCACTGGGCCGAACAACACATCTCCAGTCTAATTATGGATTGGAGAGAAGCCTAGATTTCAAATAAATACTCACTCTGTCTTAAAATATTAGTCCCTTTTGGGAAATTCAACTTTTTTTTAGCAGTGCAATTATTACACTTCAAAAATACTAATTTTCCAAAACTATCCTTTGACTTTTTTTGAGAACATCAATTGTCATAATTATACTTTTTGGTAGAGGTTCCAAATTTTCTACCAAACAAATAACCAAATGTCTCACATGGGTGTAGGGTCCACAAAATTGCGGATCCCACACCCATGTGAGACATTTGGTCATTTGTTTGGTAGAAAATTTAGTATCCCTAGCATTACCCTTTTGGGTATATTAGTGTTAATGAATTAAAAAGAAGAGTAAAATAAAAGTTCATATTATTTAGTTCTTAATTTTTGAAAAAAGACTAATATTTTGAGATAATAAAAAATGAAATAAAGAACTAAATATGTTGTGACGAGGGAGTAAATATTATAAGATTTTAAATTAAGAGCATTCATGTCATAAATTTAATTTTGAAAATTTTGGAGAAGTAGCCCCAAACTATATTTTGGAGTCATAAGAGTATCTCCAACCCAAGACTCTCAACTACATGATGAGTATAATTTTTTTAATTCAAAAAGTGAATATATATAAAGTATCTCACTATTCACCCAAATTCCAAGGACAAATTTTTATTTTTTTTCTCCAAAGATTTCCCTCCAAATTATTTTCATCAAAAAGTGAACAATTTTTGTTCATTATTAAATATTTAATTTTCAATTTTTATTAAATATATTTAATATTAAACTCAATTAAAAGGGTATGGTTTCACTCTTTTTAACTAATTTTATAAACACTAAATCTACATATTAAAAGTTATTTGTATTTTACAACATATAATCAAAAATATAAAAGGATATTGGTAGGTAAAGTTAAAAAGAAAGACTTTTAAGGCAAAGTTGGTATTTAAAAAATGATAGGTATAGAGATCCTCCTCCATTTCTTGTACTCTTTGTATTTGGAGTATCAATCAATCCTTCTTTCAAAGGGAAATGGTTTTAAAGGTAAAAATTCTTCATATTTTAAAGATATAGAGGATGGGTTATAACATTTGAAATTTAAACAAACAAAATATAATATTAAAAGACATAAAATGACAAATCAATAATAAAAAAAAAGGATGAATTACAAATACACCTATTGAGATTTGCTTAAAATACGAATTATCCCCTGTAGTTTTGAAAATTACATCTCGATGGTGTTTGGGAAGTGGGTTTTTATGTAGGTTTTTTTAGATGTAGGATATTATTGAAGAAATTTTTTTTTTGTGTTTAGGAAGATAGTTGGGTTTTTTTGTGGTTGGATGTGATGTTTGTGAGAGAAAAAGTGAAATGATTTTAGGGTTGGATGTGATATTTTGTTTGGATGTGTTTTTTTTTTTTTATTTTGCAAAACTTTTGTCTTTTAATGAAAAAAATTGAGAAAAAACCCAACTAAAATTCTTTCCAAACACCACCGATCCCTTGAAGTTTATAATTTCATAACAAATTACCCCTTTTAATAATAAATCATCAACTCAATTAATTATTTTTAATAATGTCAAAATTTTATTTCAATTAATAATTTAGAGAAAACTAGTTCCAAAACTCTATCCAAACCTGATGTTCCAATGTGAGGGTAGAATCAGAATTTGAAAATTCTTCCAAACAGTGCCCATGTTTTTTTTTTTTTTTTCTCTCTCTCCCTGCCATCAATGCAGGGATGAGAAGCTATTGAGCTTCGATTTGAATTGTGCCCAATGAGTCCGGATCCTCTCCAGTCACTCTCTCTAGTGACTTTTGCAGGGAACGGCCCAGATGGAGCCCCTTCACTCTCAAAGAAATGAGGGGTTCAGATTTATTTCTTTAAACAAAAAAAATTTCAAAACACACACTTTCATTTGCTTTTTCTCTAACACACACACACACTACTATATCTCTCTCTCTCTCTCTCTGTCTCAGACACACATTTCTAATAAAAAACTATTTTAGCATTTTTCTATAAAATTAATATCATTGAAAATATATTTTTAAAATGTGACTAATATTAAATATATTTAATAAAAATTTAAAATAAATAAAAAGTAATTACTATGTTTAGTTATGTTTTGAAATCATTATTTTTTAAATATAAAAATTAATTTGATGAAATAAACACACAAAAATCATATATTTTTGAAATTCTCAAAATCAATCTTCATTAAAAAAAAAAAAATCATAATAAAATAATTTTTTTTAAAAGGAAATAAAAAAACACACAAATCCAATTTGTGCATAGGTGCAAATCAAATATAAAGGAGTTTTGGGAGATCATATCATCACATCACTTCTCTCATTTTTTACATGATTTTTTTCAAAAAAAGTTTAAAAAAAAAAACAAAAAACTAGCTTTTAACCATCTTCCCAAAACTCCTCTGTATTTTATTTGCATCTATGCACAGATTGGATTTGTGTTGTTTTTTTATTTCCTTTTAAAAAAATTATTTTCATATAATTTTTTTTGAATGAAGATTGTTTTTGAGAATTTCAAATATACATAATTTTTGTGTGTTTATTTCATCAAATTAATTTTTATATTTAAAAAATAATAATTTCAAAACATAACTAAACATAGTAATTACTTTTTATTTATTTAAAATTTTTATTAAATGTATTTAATATTAGTCTCATTTTAAAGCTATATTTTCAATGATATTAATTTTATAAAAAATAAAATTTTATATTAAAAATTATATATATATTGTAAAAATAAAATGAAAATTAAAATATTTTTTTAATTTTTTAATAAAAATGTGAGAGAGAGAGAGTGTGCGCGCTTGTACTGTGAGTGTGTGTGTCAATGAGATGGGGACGGAGAGAGAATGAGCGTTTTTTGGTTTAGAAATGAGAGAGAGAGAAAGAGAGAGCGTTTTATGGTTTAGAAATGTGAGAGAGAGTCAATGAGAAAGGGACAGAGAGAGAGTAGAGTGTTTTTTGGTTTAGAAATGTGAGAGAGAAGGAGAGAGTGTGGGTGTGTTTGGTTTGTATTTGGTTCATAAAAAATAATTTTATTTGTAAATTTTAATCTTTAAAATTTTAATTTTTTTTTTTTGTAATGTATGTGTCCGTGCTTCATACGTTTCTATCCTATATAAGATTGCAAGTTCGTTTTCTACCCTTTTCAGTTCATATATAGATATTGAAAACACTCTCATCTCATTAAATAAGATAAAATAAAATAAAAAAGAAAAAAAAATGCAGAGTGGGAAGTTCGTAGTGTGCAGGAAATTCCAAGTAATCCTAATATCAGCAAGTGATCTTGAGGACGTTCGAAAAGTATTCAAAATGAAAGTCCATGCTAGGGTTTCAATTAACTCTCTAGCAGAGAAGAGAACTGAAGCAGACAAACACGGTGGGACGAGTCCGAAATGGTCGTGCACTGTAGAATACACCATTGGCGAGTACGCAGTTATACAACAAGGCGTCATGCTCGTCATCAAGTTATATTGTGAGCGCAAGCTTGGCGACAAGTACGTAGGAGAGGTACTGTTAGAGGCTTATCTCATATTATTTGTCTAATAATGATATAGTAAAAAAGTTTTTTATTCATATCAGTCCGATGAACTTTATATTTACAGATGACCATTATCTAATGAGATATCACCAACAATTTTTTAAAAATGACATATTTTTTGAAAAATTATTGAATGCTCTTGGGGCATGTTTGATTGGGTGGATTAGAGCATGGGATTGAGATTATTAATCCGTGGGCTCAATTATCCTATATTTGTTTTAACATTTTGGTTTAGGATTATTAATCCAATGGATAATTAATCCAACAAATTTATAGGATTATTAGTAATGGGATAGGGGTGGGATTATTAATCCTATGGATATTAATCCAATTGAATAGTGAATACCACACTAATTTAATAGGATTATTAATACTTCACTATTAATCTTATGAATCAAACATGACCTTGGAGTATTAATTAACATGTTACATCACCTCACCTCTACCACTCACCACCATATCCACCAACAGTGGCGGAGCCTCATGGTGACCGGGGGGTCACGTCATAGTTTTAAATCGTAGTATCGGGTAACGTAATGGTATCGATTGCGGAGTATTGGTATCGATAGTATCGGCCGGTACGTATTGAAAATTGGGTGTCGTGGCTGCAAAATTTCAAAAATCATTAGCAATTCCTCTAAAACTCAATTTTATGTATTTTTTTTTACTCTTTTAACCGTAATTTATCACATTTTAATCAAAATTTTGATATATAGGAGCACTTTTGACTCATTTTCAACTAAATGATATATATTTATTTTAGTCTCAAGCTTTTTTTTGGCATATATGTTAAAATTTTAATAAAAAAATTGATGTGGAAATATTTTTTTACTTATTTTCAACAATAAAATACTTCCAAATGCACAACAAATTAATAAGAGAAAGAGAGGCAGATGAAAATCTTTTGATTTCAATATTTATTTTTCTTATTTTTTTTCCCTTGCACAACTAAGGAAAAAAATATATATATATATATATGTATATATATATATATATATTAATATAAATAGAGATATAGGTGTATAAGTAAATAAATAAAATAAAAAAATCTAAACATTTACCATCTACACAAGCACGAACACCTACCTGAGTACCTACCTAAACATTTACAATCCACCCATCCACCTACCTGAGTACCTCTCTCTTCTTATCCATTTCAATCTCCTATATTATAATATAACCACAAATTCCTATCCCCTCTCTCTCTCTCTCTTCCTCTTTCTCTCTATCTTTTATAGATGCATAACAGTGGCTTTACGGAAAAATAAATAAATAAATAAAATTAGAAACAGAACAACAACAACAAAGCAGAGCACAACTTACAACTTGCAAGTTGCAACTGAGGGAGATAAACCTTCCTTGAAGAAGCTTGAGAGCGGTGGCTTAGCCGGTCTTGGGCAAAGTCAGGCCTGCATTAATGATCGATTTCATGCTTCTCTATGCAACCTATACAAGATCGATGCCGTAGGGAGATGGGTTTGGGTTTGATTGAGGATTTGGATTTGGTCCGATTCAGGGTTTTTGTTTACAGATTGTTGTCTCCTCAAGTTCACCCCTCAAAAAAAATCGTGAGGCCAAAGGGTTGGTTGTATGGATGCGAGTAGCAGTAGTAGGGGTATTCTGTACTTTCTGAATGTCTCTCGATGCATATCATCTTCCTGTACCTTTAATTTCATGTTGTTAATGAAATTTTTCTTTGCTGATTAAAAAAAAAAGTTGAAGGTTGAACACTGAAGTTAACTCCACACAGCCCAAAGAAAGATTTGCATGTTCTCTGCACCAATTTCAGCCGTACCGGCGATGGCAAATGTGTATCGGAACTATATCGCTGACGTATCGGATTCAGGCCGATACGTATCGGGAATCGGCCGTTACGGACGTGAAATTCATTCTCACCGGTATACCGGTGAGTCTCCGACTCGGCACTCTAATTTTCCGGTACGAACCGGCCAGTACGACACGTACCAGCCGATATTTAGAACCTTGGGTCACGTACCTCCGCTGGATTTTTTTTTTCTTTTCTTCTTCTTCCTTTTTTTTTTTATTTATGTATATAAATAAAATTTTAATTTAGAATGAGTATCCTTTCTGATTTAATTTCCTGACTCCGTCACTATCCACCAAGCACCACCATCTATGGCCTAATTGTCTAATCGAGTCCATTTCACACACCTCTATCACTTCCACATGCGACAAGTTGCACATGCAGAACGTAGAGATTTGTCCCCTATGGTCGCCTTTACTAATTGCCAATTAATTTTGGATTAAATGCCACCAATAATCTACAGGTACACACATCAATCAAAGAGCTCTTCGATAGCTCGATCAAAAATGGAGGCAACTGCAGTGGAGCAATGACATGCCCAGTGCATAAAGGTTCCAAAGGTGTACAGGGAACGTTGACATTTTCATACAGGTTTGGAGACAGAATAACTGTCAAAAGACCTTCCAAGTGGAAGAAGTTACTGCAATTTGGAGCTGTTGTGTTGCTACGATTGGCACTTAGTTCAGTGGATATGGAGATTGAAGAAATCCCCATCTTCACTGATCCTGATGTCATTGAATGAATTGCAGAAATAAACACCACATATACATACATACATATATATATATATATATATGGGTGTCAATCTAATCTCAAGGATTTGAGTGCTACTGTTAAAGAGAAAGTGGCCCTGTGGGCCAAGTCCAACCTTCCAGGCTTCTCTTACTCAAGGCATGATATTGTTCACAACCTAATTCAAATCTTATTCTGCTGTTAAGTGTGTTCGTCTCTGTATCTGTGTGCGGCTTGTTCTGATTATTCTGCTTGTTCTGTTGGTGTGCTTGTTGTGAAATTGTGTACTTAAACCAAATAAATAGATTTATTCTGAACAACCACTTTGAATTTCAGAATAAGAACATACTAAAATTTACAGAAATTTATAATAAAAAATAAAACTAGTAGTAAGAAGCAAACCGAAGCTTGTGTGATACCACGGTGTCCTTAAAACAGATTAGCCACCTCACCATGGGTGCTGGAGGTACGTCGACTTCTGTCTCCCAAGATACGACGGTTAAAACCAGCTAATGCAGAAACACTTTATGAATAGCTTCGGCAAACTTGATAATGGTTGCACTCTCTCTAACAAGAACCAAAGAAGGAACTAGCAAAAGAAAATAGGAAAATTTTCTTTTGGTGTAAAACCATCTCCAACTCTTTATCAAAACACCATCTCTATTTTCCATAAAAAAAAAAAAAAAAAAAAAACTCTCAAAACTTATATATTTCAAGTTGGAGGGGAAATGCCTCTATTTATACAAGTAAGGGAATCCCTAGCCATAAAGGCTATACATCAATAGGCTCATCAAATGCCATTAACCATGGCCATCAATTCCAGCCATTAGGGCTAGAGTTACAAAGGCTGAAAACCTATGGCCACTAATGTGGTCATCAACTCCATCATCAAAAGATGAGAGTTACAAAGGTCTTAACCTTCTATGTGCTTAATATATACAAATAAATATGTATATAATGATGTTTGAATAAACCAACTAGATGGGTCACACAATGGATACCGATGTTGGGTCACAACCCGATCCAAACCCAATTCTCAAGCACATGCACAAGCTAAGCCTAACACAACATAACTTAGCTCAAGCTTAAGATTAAGTCCAAGTCTAAGTTCAAGACCAAACCTAACACATGCATAAGCACAAGTACAAGTCTAGGCCCAGTCTAAACTAAGACTAAGTCCAAATATAAGCCCAACTTTTATTGATGTCCACTTTATGAGACAATTCTCATTTACACCTCAATGGTTTCGGCCTATCATTTTATATTTTAATCTTCTCACTTAAGAGAATGCAAAACTACTTAGACCCACCTCAACCGGCAGTTAGGTCTCACTTTAATTTCTAAATAAAGCTGCCGAAAAACCATTATTTTTCAACAATCCCCCACATGAATAAAATTGGCCGAATAAAGAAAAAAGACAACGCTTTACAACAAAGACTCAGAGAGAGAGCACACAGAATAATCCTGCATCAGAAAAGGTAGCTGTTGGCCTTGAACCTTTCGTAGTGAAAGCCTATTGGATTTACTGGCTGACCAGTGAACGTGATGTCTTGAATTGTTCTGCCGTTAGTGTAAATCGGGACAATAGACCTCACATAGAAGTTACTCTAACCATTATTCTTGTTCTCACTGGTGTGTCCGGTTTGGCCCTGGAACACTAGCCTGGTTCAGTGAGTGTTTTTAAAGAATTCAGCCTTGTTAATTCTTAAAGAAGTGGCCCCACTTCGCACTCACATAGGTAACCTACATAAGGTATCTCTCTATACCACAGTTGACTATTCACAACACTTAGGTCATTAAAAGCATCGGCTTAACCTCCCACCCCATAGGGTATCACTATATAAAGGAATGGACAGGAGGGTTTACCTCTACAGTGACTCATCCGTTACACGCAGTTAGGTTGTCCCTTTGAACCTAGATCTTGGGATCTCCAGTCAACTAGGTTGGGTTTTCTATTCCGGTAACATTACTCAAGGCCTTAACCCCATTCCTCTCGATGACGTTTCTACTAACTCTCGAGTTAACCCTTTGGTTAGCGGATCCGCAATGTTGTCTTTAGACTTTACATAGTCTAGAGAGGCAACGTCATTTAGAGAGTAGTTGTCGTATAAAATTATGTCTATGACGGATACATCTAGACTTTCCATTATATATATGACTTTGTGCCCGTCCAATCATCGATTGGCTATCGCAATGAATACAGATAACAGGCACAGGTTTCGGCCAACGTGGAATATCCTCAACGAACTGGCGAAGCTATTCAGTCTCTTCGGTTGCTTTATCCAACGCAATAAACTCAGATTCCATCGTTGATCTCGATATATACGTTTGCTTGGAAGATTTCCAAGGCACGGCTACCCCTCCGAGGGTAAACACATAACCATTTGTGGATTTGGAGTCCTTTATATCAGATATCCAATTAGCGTCACTTTACCCCTCTAGTACCGCTGGGTATCTGGTACAATGCAGCCCATAATCCTAGGTGTAGCGTAGATAACCTAACCCCCTCATAATGCCTCTCCAATGAGTGGCATTTGGATTACTCGTGTATCTAAGCCTGCTAATAGAGTAGGCTATATCTGGCCTTGTACAACTCATCAAATATATCAAACTTCCAATGACCCAATAATATTCTAGTTGAGAGACACTCTCACCATTATTCTTGGTCAAGTGTAGACTCACGTCTACCGGTGTCCTAGACACACTTGTATCTGACTTACTAAATTTCTCAAGTATTTTCTCAACATAGTGAGATTGAGAAAGTTAAATACCATTAGATGTTCTGGTAATCTCAATACCTAGAATGACATCTGCAAGGCCCATATCTTTCATGTCAAACTTTGAGTTTAACAATCACTTGGTAGTTTGAACCATTTCATCATTACTACCAACAATGAGTATGTCGTCTACGTATAGACACAAAATGACATAACCTCTGTCAGTGTCTTTAACATATACGCACTTGTCACACTCATTGATTCTAAATCTATTTAACAACATAGCGTTGTCAAACTTCTCATGCCATTGGCGCTTGTTTCAAACCATATAATGACTTGACAAGCTTAAAGACTTTCTTATTTTTCCCTGGAGCTAAAAACCCCTTGGGTTGTTCCATGTAGATTTCTTTATCTAAATCTCCATTTAAGAAAGCTGTCTTTACATCCATCTGATGTATCTCTAAACCACGTAAAGCGGCTATCGCAATTATTATGCGAATGGATGTAATCCTTGTCACAGGTGAATACGTATCAAAGTAATCCAGGCCTTCTCTCTGCTTGTATCCTTTGATAACTAGCCTAGCTTTATATTTATCAATTGACCCATCAACTTTCTAAAGATCCACTTACTCCCCAAGGCCTTACTGCCTGGGGTTAGATCAACCAACTCCCAAGTATGGTTCTGTAAGATGGAGTCAATTTCACTTTTAATAGCTTCTTTCCATAAGGGACTTTCTGGTGAAGTCACTGCTTCATGGAAAGTTCGAGGTTCTCCCTTTAACATATAAGTCAAGAAGTCCGGGCCAAAGGACTTGGTAGTCCTAGCTCTCTTACTCCTTCTCGGCTCATTTAAATCCTCAATTTGATCATCAACTTGATCATCTAAGTGATCATCTGTTTGATCAGCTATGTGATCATTGTCACTTTCAACCTCTTTCATGGAACTCGGAATACATTTTCAAAGAAAGATACATTTCTTGATTCCAGGATAGTATTCTTGTGTATATCTGGAATAGCAGACTGAACCACAAGAAATCGATATGCAATACTACATTGTGCACAACCGTTGAATACAAAGTCAATGGATTTTTAGGCTTATCCTAACCCTCTTGGGTTTAGGTATTCCCACCTTTTGCATGACACCCCCACATTTGTACAATTTATACAAAGGTTTTGGCCTTTTTCGAAAATTCATACAAGGTCTTTAAACAATTCCTTGTGTCACAATGATTATGAAACTCTCAAAATCATATCACAGTAAATACATTCCCAGACTGTCATCAATCGAATTAGGCACTTAAACATATTTGGTCCAACCTATCACTCTGAAGCCAATAGTCTAACTACTAGGAAACACAAATCCAGTGTTCAATAGTCTACTACTCGGAACTTCATAACATGGCCAGTAGTCTTATCACTAGGAATCACTAATTTCTCAGCATGTGGTCAGTAGACTTTCTACTACTTGGAATCACAATGTCTTAACCTATGATCAGTAATTACTTTATTACTAGGAATCACAATGTCCTAACATAGGATCAATAGACTCTTTCATTACTCGGAATCAGCATGTCTTGACATATGATCAGTAGCCTCTCTATTACTAGGAACCATCATGTCTTGACATGTGATCAGTAATCTGTTCACTACTATTAACCACAATCTCATAACTATGTAGCCAGTGGTCTAACACCTCCTAGGAACCACCAATTTTCTATCTCTATGATCAGTGATCTTATACTCACTAGGAGCCACCAATTTAAGAATATATTTGGAATTTAAAAATTTAAAAATATATTCACCCAGCCTAACAGGTTGTCTCATCTTTGCTTTCAAGCAAAGTCACATAGCAATCATATATGCTATAATTGACACAAGGATAACATACTAATTGCCTCTGATTAATTCGGAAATGTTGTCATGCAATCTTATGATTTTCTTTAATCACACTTGATCTCTCTAGATATTCTTTTAAGAATCTCGCAAGGCTTAACGTTGTCAGGTGGAACAACATTTCTATTGTCACCTCTTGAAGCCAATTCTGAAAAATCATAACAGAATTTCATTATTCTGTTTTTTTTTTTTTCATAAACTAAACTTAACACTAGAAAATCCACAGTTGGAAATTTAATTCAAAATTAGTCTCACCACTTAACCTAGAATCGAACATGGTCAAGAATGTTCCCAGGAACACTGAAGGGGCCACATCGGTCCCACTTAAAATCCAGTTAACCTTTTGTCAAAACTTTCAAGAGCATGTTGACTCCTAGTCCATGGGAAACAAATTTAAAATTAAGTTTTCCAGGGGATAAAACCAGGTTCTAGGTTATAACAAACCAATATCCAAGCAAATAAAATTTGCTACCAGAATTATACCACTCATAAAATTTAACCGGTAATCCCAGAACTAAGCCCATTATTTCTGACTAAACTCAAAAATATTTTAGCTATTGCTAAAATTTGGTTTCTCTTTTCAAACCAAAACACTTTGGAAATAATCAGATT